TTAGGTGATTCTCAGCCTCAGCCTCCCGAGTAGCTGGGACTACAGGGGCCCGCCACAACGCCCGGCTATTTTTTATTGCGGTTTGGCCAGGGCCGGGTTCAAACCCGGCACCCTCAGTACATGGGGCCTGAGCCCTACTCCCTGAGCCACAGGCGCCGCCCACACTCTCTTATTTTCAAGGAGACTTCTCAAAGTCCCTACAACTTCATTAGCCTGTGTTTGATCACATGGCCATGTGCAGCTACAAGGAAAAGTTGGGTGGCCATTTACCTGATCTGGTCGCTATAACAACTAAGGAAGACTGGAGCAGTGTCACGGGCAACAGCTCGCAGCCTCTGCTCAGAGCATCCCCCGATGCCTGCCCTACCTTTCTCCCTCCTTTTTTCCCTCCTTCCGTACTGTTTCACCGGTCATAGGCAGAAATCTACCAGAGTTGATGAGGGGCAGCTTTTTGCCATGGGATTCTGCCTGCTTTAGCCAGATTCTGGTCTCAGGAAGGCGTGGGGAGCCATCTCTCTTTCTGGGTCTAATCACTGGCCTGACTTGCCAAGACTGAAGCTGAGCTTTGAACCCAGATGCCCTGGGTCCCGTTGCTGCTGCAGGGGAGAACACTAAGGTGGCCAAAGGCAGTGCCCGGGGTCTAGGACTGAGAGAAGCTTAAGTTGGGCACCACTGCTCCTGCTTTGCCCCTAGGCAGTGAGCAACCCTGCACAAGCCATCTCTTCCTCTTCCAAACAAGAGCTGGACTTACTCAGGGTCTGTGATACCCACCAAAGTGGAGGGTGGGGCTGTGCCAAAGTTAAAGAGGGCAAGAGGTGTGGCGGGAGCCTGCAGTCCCAGCTACTCGGGAGGCTGAGGCAAGAGAATAGCCAAAGCCCGAGAGCTGGAGGTTGTTATGAGCTGTGACGCCAGGGCACTCTACCGAGGGCAACAAAGTGAAACTCTGTCTCAAAAAAAAAAAAAGAGGGATCCTTGCCATGTGCTACGCAGGCTAGTGTGGCCAGGTTTCCCAAAATATTCCTGAGAAACCAGACATCCTGAATTGCATATCTTTTCCCCACTTACAGATTACAACTAACTGTTTAGAGCACCAAGCAAAACAAAATAGTCTGTCTGCTGCCTAGCTCTGGCCTGTGAGTAACTAATTTACAAACCTGAGCTAAATCATCAAGAAAGTCCTTTCCACCTTCAAAATCCCAGATTCCCCCGCAGCCCCTGCCCTCAAAGAGCTTCATTCTCATGTATCTGCCAGCACCCATCCACGAAAGAAAAACCTTCAATGCAGGGCCCCTGGGGCCAGGCAGCCAGAGCAGGCTCCCTGTAGGACGAGATCTTGCAGAGAGCTCGGATGTGGACAGAGGAAGGGGTGGCACAGCGGGGCAAAAGTGTAGGGGTGAGTAATGTCTGCAGCTATCGCCTGGCAGCTTCTCTTTGCTCCCTGGGGCCTCCTGACCCACCCAGAACTGAGCCCAGATCATGCTATTAAGCCAGCTTCCTGAGTGACATGCCCCCTGATAGGAGATGGCAGGGCAAATACCAAAAGCAGGTCTGACTGCATTCCACCCTAGTGGTGGTGAGATGGTGGGCAAAGGGAACTCAGCCCACCGGCACTGATATCCCCACCCCTTTCCAACACTGGGGAAAGTAAAAACAAGAAGGATGGGGCCTCCTTGGTGGAGCCACCGGCACCTTAGGGTCCTGCTTCCTCCATTGTTCTAAAAAATAGTTTTCTTGCTGAACTAGTTGACCAGCAACTGTTACTAACCATAAGTGCCATAAATTTGCTTCTGTACATACCAGTTGTGAAACCTGGTTTCTTGCTTATTGTTTTGTAGCCTGCATGAGTTATCCTATAAAAACTCTGTCCCCGGGTGCTGCCTGTGGCTCAAGGAGTAGGGTGCTAGCCCCATATACCAGGGGTGGTGGGTTCAAGCCCGGCCCCGGCCAAAACTGCAAAGAAAAAAACTCTGTCTCCAAGCTGGTCATTGCTGCTCTTCTGACCTTAGAAGGTAGTCGCTGGCCAGTCTTAAATAAAAAGACTCCTGTTGGCTTTTTCAATTTGTCTGGTGGTCTCATCTCACCACCATAACAGTGGCACTTTCCAGAGAGATAGAGGTGGCTAGGGTGGCACCTGAGGAATGTGTTCCCTCAGTGGAGGTAGGAAGAAGGAAGTCCAGGCCTGAGTCAATTGTGTAAGTGGGAATCGCGGCCACTAGGGAGTTTCCTGGAGGCGTAGCCCCAAGGGACACTCCCACTGGTGCTAGAAAGAAGCAGAACAGAGTGAAAGACCCGCAGGACAAAGTGAGGGATCGAGAGGTCGCCCTAGGCAGGCCATGTGAGGCAGGGGATACAAAGTCGATCCCAGAAGAGCCCTGCACACCTCCGGACCCTCCTCCCATCTATAAATGGGGTAGGGGGCTTGGCCCAACTGACATGTCTCTCCAAAATAGTGCACAGACCACTGGTAGTTTCAGTCTTTTTTTTTTTCCAGACACATTCTTGCTCTGTCACTCTGCCTAGAGCACAGTGGCATCATCAGAGCTCACAGCAGCCTCAAACTCCTGGGTTCAAGTGATCTTCCTGCCACAGCCTCCCAAGTAGCTGGGGACTATAGGCGCCCACTACCATACCTGGCTAATTTTCTATATTTAGTAGAGATGGGGTCTTGGTTCTTGCTCAGGCTGGTCTTGAACTCAGTGATCCTCCCACTTCTACCTCCCAGACTGCTGGGATTACAGATGTAGGCCATCGAGTCTGGCCTCTTTCTCCTTTTTTATTTTTTATTTTTAGTGTGTGTGTGTGTGTGTGTGTGTGTTCAGGCTTTATTAGGCATGAGACCAAGACCTAGCTGGGGGAGTAGGGCCTGCACACCAGGGAGTCCTGGTCTTTCAGGGCAGTGCTGGGGAACTCGGAGTCCATTCTGGCTTCTGAAAGCACAGACAAGCACTGATGGGAAAGATGGTCAGGTTGGCATTAGGACAGAAACAGGTGATGTTATAAGGGAGACTTTCTTTCTTTTTTTTTTTTTTTTTTTGAGACAGAGCCTCAGGCTATTCCCCTGGGTGGAGTGCCGTGGCATCACAGCTCACAGCAGCCTCCAACTCCTGGGTTCAAGTGAGTCTCCTGCCTCAGCTCTCACGTAGCTGGGACCACAGGCGCCCACCACAATGCCCAGCTATTTTTTTGGTTGCAGCCATCATTGTTGTTTTGGCAGATCCGGGCTGGATTCGAACCTGCCACCTTAGGTGTATGTGGCTGGCGCCTTAGCCACTTGAGCCACAGGCACTGAGCCTATAAGGGAGACTTTAAGGAAAGTGTGGCGGTGAAGCCTGCATGAGGGGAGGTCAGATTAGAAAAGAACAGAAAGAAAGATAAAGGAACAAAAAGGCTGGTGCCAGGCAGGGAAGGGAATCTGGCTATTCTCCAGGGTCTCAGGCAGGAGGCACCTTTTTCCTTTTTAAATTTTCATAGTCATATATTCATTTTCATGTGAATTAGAAAAACAGTAACTATATCACCACCAAGCCTGCCATTTCACAATAATCATAGCTGACCCTTCGGAGTGCTTATTCTGTACCAGGCACTGTGTGAAATAGCATACGCCCACCCACAAGCCTATTGACAACTCACCACTGACCATGAGGTTCATACTGTCATTATCCTCTATTTACAGATGAGGAAATTAGCCACAGAACAGAAAAGTCAGTTGCCCACGATCACCCAGCCAGTTAGCAGTGGAGCTGGTGTGAAGGCCAGGCAACTGCCCCCAGAGCCACCTTGCTCCTAGACTCTAATATATTTGCTTAGACTAAGGATGGATGAAAGAGAGCTGGGAACAGCACCGGGGGAGGGGACACCAGTACTTGGGAAGGTGGCAAACAAATGGCAGAATGGCCCGGGGGGACTAGACAAGGTAGTCTCCTTAGACCCATCCGGCTAGAGAGCTCTATATTTTCAGTAGATAAAAACTCAAGACTGAAATTTTATTTCAGGGAGCCACTAGCCATTTTCCCACTAGGAATGTGTTCACATGGTTCACAAATCAAAACTATATTAAAAGATAAGTAGAGGTGCCACCAGAATCCCAGTGTGTCCTTCAAGGGTTGCTTTTTAGGCAAATAAAAGCAAAGAAGACGTGATCTTCCTCTTTCCCCGTGTCCAAAATGTGGTATGTTGTGTACTTGCTTTGATTTTGTTTCAAGATTACAGTATAGCGTGGCCTGGATGTCTTTCCCTATCGGCCACGGAGATCTGCTTTCCTCATTCCTCATTCCTTTAAACAGATATGTGGTGTCCCAGGGGGTCTCTTTAATCAGCCCTCCTCCCCATGATAGCCACAGAGGAGAAAACTCCCCATATTTGGCTATTACCAACAAGGCAACAGTGAATAATCTTGTATAGAAATTGTTTTGTCCAGGGCAAGTATTTGGCTTTGGGACAATCTCAAAGATGAGAAATGGCACCCCGGAGTCATTTTCCCACTATGAAGGAAGATGCTAATCTTTTCACACTTTCAAGACTTACTTGTCCTTTTTTCTCTGAACTGTTTGTATCCTTGGCCCACTTCTTTGAGTCTTTTCGTTCTTGATTTAATGTTGCAAATACTTCCCCCAGGTTGTCATTTTTCTTCTGACCTTGCTGGTGGTATTTTTTTTCTTTTTTTGCAGAAGTTGTGTTTGTTTGCTTGCTTGCGTCTGTACATTGTAACGTTGATGTTGAATGTATCAGACTTTTCTTTTGTGGCCTCTGGGTTTTTGAGTCACGGGTAGGAAAGCTTTTTCCACTGGGAAGATAAGTTATAAAGGAGTTTATTTCTTTTCTGCTAGTAAAAAGCCAGCTTGTTCATGGGGAGGGGAATGATAAAGAAAACCCTGGGCCCCAAAGCACAGTCTCTTGCTAGACAGTGGACGTGAAGTTACTCACCTGGTGTCTTTCTCCATCAGCCCCGCTGCAGACTGATCTAGGGAAGCTGTGGCGTCTGGCCCAGGGCAGATACAACCATGGCCTTCCTGATACACCTGCTGGTCTGCATCTTCGGAACGGGTTCCTGGGTAGCCATCAATGGACTCTGGGTAGAGCTGCCCCTGCTGGTGACAGAGCTGCCCGAAGGCTGGTACCTGCCCTCCTACCTCACAGTGGTCATCCAGCTGGCCAACATCGGCCCCCTCCTGGTCACCCTGTTCCATCATTTCCAGCCTGGCTGCCTTTCTGAGGTGCCCATCATCTTCGCCGTGCTGGGTGTGGGCACCATCGCCTGTGTCCTCTTCGCCTTCCTCTGGAATATGACTTCCTGGCTCCTGGGCGGCCCCCATAGCATCGCCTTCATAGTCCTCACCTTCTTCCTGGCCCTGGTGGACTGTACCTCTTCGGTCACCTTCCTGCCCTTCATGAACCGGCTGCCCCCCCAGTACCTCAACACCTTCTTTGTGGGTGAAGGGCTCAGCGGCCTCCTGCCTGCCCTGGTGGCTCTTGCCCAGGGCTCAGGTCTTACCACCTGTGTCAATGTCACTGAGATGTCAGACGTGCTAACCCCTGTGACCACCAGGGAGACCAATGTCACACAGGTACCCGGTGTCACCCTGAGTCATTGCAGCACTCTGCTCCATCACAAGTAGCAGGGAGGGAGAATTGGCTTTCCTCTACCCTTCAGCTGGTCTACAAATTAAATTGCTATAAGGCAGATTAGCAGCAGAAAAAAAAATAATTACATTAATATGTTTGCAGGAGAGCACTACAAAGGTGTGAGATCAAGAAAAGACCAGATGATTGAAGCTTATGAGGTCAATCAAGTTCACGACCTCATTTTATTAAAAAAAAGCTACATGTCTCAATGCTGAATGTCACTCACTACAGTCAACTTCAAAGTACTCCCCATGGAAAGCTTTGTACCGACACCAGCGCCTAGTCCACCCTTCAAAGCATGTTTTCTAGAGTGAGTTCACAAACTTGTCAGACCTCATACGATGACAGCTCTGATGGCCATTCCAGAAAAAGAGCTCCAAAATTGCTTTGAAGGCTGAACTAGGCACTAGTATCAGTGCACAGGTTCCCAAGGGAAGTCCTTGGAAGGTGACCACAGTGATATTCAGCAATGAGGTATGGAGCACTTTTTCTTTTTCTTTCTTTTTCCTTCTTTTTTTTTTTTTTGAGATAGAGTCTCACCTTGTCACTCTCTGTAGAGTGCTGTAGCATCATAGCTCACAGCAACCTCAAACTCCTGGGCTTAAGTGATTCTCTTACCTCAGCCTCCCTAGTAGCTGGGACTACTGGCACCCATCCTAACACCTGGCTATTTTTAGAGATGGGGTCTTACTCTGGTTCAGGCTGGTCTCGAACTCCTGAGCTCAGGCAATCCACCCACCTCAGCCTCCCAGAGCACTAGGATTACAGGCGTGAGCCACCACACCCAGCCCATGTATCACTTTTTCTAGGACAAGTTTGCAAAGTTAAATGTCTGACCTCATACATGCATAGCATCCTAAGCTACAGAAAGGAATAGGGGCTTGAGAGTTCGGGGGAGGGTGGTAGAGACAAATCATGGGAGTGTGAGGAGAGAAAATGTATGGTTCAAGGTCGCCTTGATATGCGGATAAGTCTCTCAGGTGATAAAGGTTGTCACCATTCCCTTTCCGAAACGAATACCTCTGCTGATAAAAATTTCCTCTAGGTGTAAATTTCCTTTTCAAAAGGGCAACTTTTCAGACCTTCTCCTGAGTTTGCAATTTCTTAAAATACCCAGTTGGAAATAATCAATATGCACGAGAGATCTATTTTGGGGTGGTATATTCTGGTCTCCTGCAGTCATGTTTTGGGGTAGATGGTATGTCTTGAGCCACAACACAAGCCAGATCACGTGGCATGCATGCATGCTCCTAGGCACTGGGGAGCTGTTGGATGGTCCCCATCCATCCAAACCAATTGAATAAAAGTCTGAGAAGATAGGGCTTGACCAAAGTCCTCGGGTCAGATTTTATTTTAGAGTTATGTAGTTTTAGGCTGTAGAAATGCAGTCCCTAACCCCTGGTCACGCACCAGTACGGTGGCCTGTAGGAACCAGACTACACAGCAGGAGGTGAGTGGTGGTTCCAAGCAAAGCTTCATTCGCCAGCTGAGCTCTACCTCCTGTCAGATAAGCAGGGGCATTAGATTCTCACAGGTACGTGAACCCTTCTGTTAACTGCACACGTGAGGGTCTCCTTATATGAATCTAAGGCCCCTTCCCTCCAGTCTGTGGAAAAATTGTCTTCCATGAAACCGGTCCCTGATGCCAAAAGTATTAGGGGCCACTGCTGAAGGACATGGCTAACGTGGTCCCAGCAGCATCTATACCCAGTGGGCGCAGTGGGGCTGTGAAAAGTCCATTCATGTGTTGCTGCCAACTGAGTCATGAAAAATGTTGATATTCAGAGCTTCCTGGATTCCAGAATTGTAAGAGATTGTGAACGTGTATTTATTCAAAATCCCCCAGGTTGGCTGGCACAGTGGCTCACGCCTGTAATTCTGACACTCTGGGAAGCTGAGGCTGGTGGATTGTTTGAGCTCAGAAGTTTGAGGCCAGCCTGAGCAAGAGTGACACCCTGTCTCTACCAAAAATAGAAAAATTAGCCAGGCGTGGTGGCAGATGCCTATAGTCCCAGTTATTTGGAAGGCTAAGGCAAGAGGATCACATGAGCCCGGGAATTTGAGATTACTGTGAGCTTTGCCAACACAGCACTCTAACCTAGGGCAACAGAGTGAGACTCTGTCTCAAAAACAAAACAAATACCCTCCCCCTCCCGTTGGTGGGAACACACAGGGTTGAGAACCATAGACATCAAACATGGCTTCAATGCCTCATGGTAAAACACCAAACTTTCCATCACTGCATATTGGAAAATTTACATATTTCTGGTATCACCCAAACCACAGCAGAACAGCAGCACTTGCTAACCAGTAGCTCCAGGCCACATTGGCTTGCAAGTATTTTTTTAAAATGTTTGAATTAGTTGACATTTTACAATTTTGAAATTTCACTTATACAAAAATAAAGAGATCTGGCTATATCAGGCCACATTGCCACAGGGCATCCTTGGGTGGGCCTGGGAAGTAGGGCTGCCCTTTAAGGGGGGGGGATTCTCCCCTTAGAAGGAGGAATTCTACCCTTAGCAGACAGGTTCTTCCTTTAGGGGGGGAGGTTCCACCTTAGGGGAGAGGCTTCCCCACTCTCTAGCCAGCCCCTCTAAATGTATCTGTGGTTGTCACCTCTGTAGGGTAGCAAAGAGGTAAAGGTATAGCGCCAGTGTTGGCACACTTTGCACTGCTGTAAAGGAATTCTTGAGGTTATGTCATTTATAAAGAAAAGAGGCTGAGTGTGATGGCTCACACCTATAATCCTAACGCTCTGGGAAGCCAAGGAAGGTGGATTGTCCAAGCTCAGGAGTTCCACACCAGCCTGAGCAAGAGATCCTATCTCTACTACAAATAGAAAAACTAGCCAGGCATGGTGGCAGACACCTGTAGGGAGGCTAGGGAGGCTGAGGCAAGAGAACTGCTCCAACCCCAGAGTTTGAGATTGCTATGAGCTATGGTGCTCTACCTAGGGTGACAGAGTGAGACTCTATCTCAAAAAAGAAAGAAAGAGGCTTATTTGGCTCTTGGTTCCGCAGTTATTACTGCTACTTCATTTATTTATCAATTACTTATAATATATAATGCGTATTACACATTACCATTGTCATTATTGCTGCTGTTCCCTGCATTCTGACTCCCCCCAGGGATCTAACTGTTGTGTCATCTTTCTGCAGGAAGTTCTCAGCACCTTGTCAGCTGTCCCCAGGACAACAGCCACAACCGTGCAGCTCGAAAGCCGCTACCTCCCAGCGCACTTCTCGCCCCTGGTCTTCTTCCTCATGCTGTCCTGCATGATGGTCAGCTGCCTCGTCGCATTCTTTCTCCTTCAGCACCAACGCAGGCACTGGGACACCTCCGTCGAGGACCTCCTCAACTCCCAGGTCACCCTCCACTCCATCCGGCCACGGGAAGAAAAGGACATGGGCCCTCCAGACAGTAGCCAGGGCCAAGAGCGCAGAGAAGAGAAGGCGGCCCCCCAACACCCAGCTCGTCTGGCCTTCATCTACATCTTGGTGGCCTTTGTGAACACACTCACCAACGGCGTGCTGCCCTCAGTGCAGACCTATTCCTGCCTGTCATATGGACCTGTTGCCTACCACCTGGTTGCCACACTCAGCTCCATGGCCAACCCTCTCGCCTCCTTCCTCTCCATGTTCCTACCTAACAGGTCTGTCCCCATCTGGCTCTGGGGAAGTCTGGTTGGGGAACACTTCATTCCAGAATCCAGGATTCCAAACCCTGCCTTTAGGGTTGTGCATGTAGTGATTAAGAAGATGGTTTCTGGAGCTTGGCTTCCTGTGTCCAAACCAGCTCTGCTACTTATACCAGCTGTGTGATATTGAACAGGTCACTTCACCTCTCTGTGCTTTAGGGATATTTATCTGGAAAATGGGAATGATAAGTGTTGCCCATGACTGCTCTCTGGCCATGAGGAGGAAGAGGTGGCTACTGAGTTTCCCATTTACAAATAGGAACCCTGAGACTTGGAGAAAGGGTTTGACCTGGTCCAATTCCAAGGATTTCAGCCCTCCCTACAGCCCACCGCTGGTTCCCTTAGCAGTGGTCCCAAACTTTTTAAACAGGGGGCCAGTTCACTGTCCCTCAGACCGTTGGAGGGCCAGACTGCGGGCCTCGGGATGAGTTGGCTGCTAAGCAGGACAGGCAGCAGCGGCAAAAATACCTGGCAGGCCGGATAAATGTCCTAGGCAGGCCGCATGTGGCCCACAGGCTGTAGTTTGAGGACGCCTGCCTTAGAGCCACTGCAGTTGTAGAATGCCTGGGCTAGTTGATAAAATGCAGACTGAGCCAGCCATGATTGGGAGCAGAGATTTCAGTTTTTAATAAGCAGCCCATATGGTTCTGACCCCCGCAGGAGTAGCACTACTTAGCATTGAGACATTTTGGGTCCCACAGCCTCCCGTTTACCCATGGCCTGCCTACCCTGCTGGCCTCCCAGACCTGCTTATAGCACCCACCCAGCCCAGCAAGGAGCAGAGTAAGGACAGGGGAGCTAGACAGAAAATGGCAGCTGACAGGAGGCTGGATTTTCTTCCTAGTGGCTAAAAACCATGGTGAGGACAGAGGAACTGGGGGAAGTAGGACCAGAGGACCAGACCTGCAGAGTGTAAGCAACCTAAACTGTTAGAAGTACAGAATCTGATGAGAGTCAGGGAACCCAAGACTCTTGCAGCAGAGTCCTTAGTGGCAGAGGCAGACCCCCTCCATTCTTACTGAGGGCACAGGCCAGTGTTGGTGTTCTGGAGACTAGACAATGGGACCCCAGGGACAAGGATCTCGAAAGACAGTGTCCTCAGTTGTCAGACCTAGGATACACATGCATGGAAGGTCAGCTGCGGAGTGATGCTATCATAGCAACAAGCCAGTTGTCTGGGCCCCACAGATCATTCAACCTATGTTGCAGACCGGCATAGCTAAGGCTAGAGGGGGCGAGGGTTACCTGAGGTCACAGGTAACCCTTGAAGTGCCAGTGTCAAAGGTGTCCTCGCGGCCTGGCCTCCTGGTGGAGGTTAGGTGCATTGTAAGAGGAAATGCCAACCAATGAAATACTAGGTGGGCCCCCCAGCTGGAGCTAGGCTCTGTACACTCGCTTCCGTGGGCCACCCTAGCCCTGTAAGACCCCCATTTTGAAGACTCAGGGATCAGTCTCACAGCTGAAATAATAGAACTGGACTTTGAACCAGGACCCTCTGGTGCCAGAGTCCATTCTGTGTCTCTTGCTGGGATACTAGTCCCAGCCATTAATGCTTGGGGTGACTTAGGCCATCCCTACCCCTCAGAAGCTTCACTGACCTGGTTGAGTTCCATGTGAGGCTAACCCAACCCTGCAGATGGCTACCGTTCCCCATGGCTCCCAGAGGCTGGGCGGAAGTCAGGCTTCTCATCTCCTCCACTCACCTTCTGCCACCGACTCTACTCTAGGTCTCTGCCATTCCTGGGAGTCCTCACAGTGCTTGGGACCAGCTTTGGAGCCTACAACATGGCCATGGCTGTGATGAGCCCCTGCCCCCTCCTGCAGGGCCACTGGGGAGGGATGGTAGTCATCGTGAGTATTCGGCCTTACAGCTGCTCCCTTTCCCACTTCCCCCACCTGTTATGGGAGACCTGGGTAGACCCCAGGTACAGCCCTTTCTATTGACTTGGGTCTTCGTGGTCGCTCTCTCAGAAAGCCCCAGGTGCGAGGGGGTGCTTCTCATTTGGGAGGCGTAGGGAATTGAGGTGACTGGTTCAGCAGTAGCCTTGTCTCAGATACCCTTGACTTGATCACAGAGGCCAGAAAAGCCACTGGCTTCGCCTCTGTGAGTTGCTAAGGGGAGTCCATGAGTAGTGGGAATCAACTCATGGGCCCCTCTTAGCCCCTTAGATCACCCACCCTATGAGGCTCTCAGCTGGCCACTCTGCATTTCTTCCTGCCCGGCCCTGCAGGTGACCTCGTGGGTGCTGTTCACCGGGTTTCTCACCTACGTCAAGGTCATGCTGGGCGTGATCCTGCGCGACCACAGCCGCAGCGCCCTCCTGTGGTGCGGGGCGGCGGTGCAGCTGGGCTCGCTGCTCGGCGCGGTGCTCATGTTTCCGCTGGTCAACGTGCTGCGGCTCTTCCAGTCGGCTGACTTATGCAACCTGCACTGCCCGGCCTAGGCGGCCACGGGCCATCACTAAGTCCTGGAAACTGAGACTCACGGAGGCAGAGCCTGAGTACTTGAACCAGGAACGCAAACCTCCATTCGCGACTGTGAGGAATGTCACAGTCTTCCCGTGAGACCTGAAAATACAAGGCATTGCCCTTCCCCCAACTCTGTATCACGGTGCCTATGACTCCACCACATGGGATCTTTACTTCGACTCTTGAAAGAAAACTAATTTGCAGCATCCCGTGGAGGCGGACCAAGGATGTCAGGAGGGAAACAGCTGGGAGAGTGAGCTGTCCCTTGCAAGCTGTGTGACCTTGGGGAGGTCACTCTGTGCCTCTGTTTCATCACCCATAAAATGGGGATTATTATTATTATACGTGTTTTTGAGACAGAGTCTCACTCTGTTGCCCAGGCTAGCATGTCACGGTGTCATACCTCATAGCAACCTCATACTCTTGGGCTGGCTCCATCCTCTTGTCTCAGCCTCCCCAATAGCTGGGACTACAAGCGTGCACCACCATGCCTGGCTAATTTTTCTATTTTTAGTAGAGGCAGGGTCTCGCTCTTGCTCAGGGTGGTCTCAAACTCTTAAACTCAGGTGATCCACCCTCCTCAGCCTCTCAGAGTGCTAGGATTACAGCCCTCCTGGGCATGTCCTCATCTCATGCCCCACAATAATAACAAGAGTGGCTATCAACACAACCTAGAAGTGTCCAGAGGAGTTAAGAGAGGGGACCCTGTCCTCTCTTCCTTTTCCTTATCCTCACAGAGGAACTCTTGCAAGACAGATGGCTACTGGTAGAATCCTGGACATCCTGGATTTCTTTTTTCTGTAGAGACAGAATCTCACTTTATCGCCCTCAGTAGAGTGCTGTGGTGTCACACAGCTCACAGCAACCTCCAACTCCTGGGCTTAGGCGATTCTTTTGCCTCAGCCTCCTGAGTAGCTGGAACTACAGGTGCCTGTCACAACACCTGGCTATTTTTTGGTTGCAGTTTGGCCGGGACCAGGTTCAAACCCACCACCCTCAGTATATGGGGCCAGGCCCCTACCCACTGAGCCACAGGAGCGGCCCACTTCCTGGCTTTTCTTTCTTTCTTTTTTTTGCAGTTTTGGCCGGGGCTGGGTTTGAACCCACCACCTGTGGCATATGGGGCTGGCACCTTACTCTTTGAGCCACAGGTGTAGCCTGCTTCCTGGCTTTTCTAATTCCCAGTATGGAGGGACCCTGTATCCCACACACCCCTCTTTGTCATCCTTCCTGGCTCATGAAGCCCTACTCATTGGAGGGTATTAGTCCCAACCTCTGAAAGTGACTCCCTTCTGGGCTGAGGATTGGACACTGAGGACCCTGGGAAGTAGTTTTCCCAACTGGAGGGGAAAGGAGTAATAGTTATTTTGTTTTACTTTTTGCTTTTCTTTTTAAAAATAAAGTCATTTCCTGCTTTTACACAGATTAGCCATCCAGGAAGTCCACTGTGAACTCAGAAAATGTATCAACATAATCAATTTTCGTATGGTTCTAAGGTCAAGGCTGAGCTCAGAAATGAATAAAATCAAGTGCTAAGAAAATGTTGGATCCTGGAACTTCTTCTTAAAGGTTTTGTTTGCATGTCACCACCACAATACTCCTCTTTCCCCTTTAATTTATTTTGAACAGATAATGGAGTCCAATGCACCAGGAGTGGTGGCACACACCTGTAATCCTAGCACTCTGGGAAGCCGAGGCAGGAGGATTGCCTGAGCTCACAGGTTTGAGACCAGCTTGAGCCTCTAAAAAATATAGCTGGGCATTGTGGAGGGTGCCAATAGTCTGATCTACTTGGGAGGCTGAAGCAAGAGAATTGCTTGAGCCCAAGAGTTTGAGGTTACTGCGACCTATGATGCCACAGCACTCTACTGAGGGTGACAAAGTGAGACTCTGTCTCAAAAAAAAGGCGGCACCTGTAAAGGTGTAGGGTGCCGGCCCCATATGCCAGAGGTGGCAGGTTCAAACCCAGCCCCAGCCAAAAACTGCAAAAAAAAAAAAAAAAAAAA